GTCTTGTAGTACGTCGAGGCCATGCTGTTCAGCATTTGTGATTCTCTGTTGCACAATATGATTATGCAACTTATTTACAGCATGTGCCATCGCTATCAAGACTAAAAGTCTCCAGTTAATCACAAATTCTGAAAGATACTCTTTGGAACCATTAAGACCAAGTGATGTGTACTTGCATCACACTGAATCTAAGCGATCCTAACGTAACACAGGCACTCACTTCCATCAGATAATCTTCACAGGGATCGAAGAGAGAGCTAGAGCAGCATTTGGTGCTGTGAAGTGCTGGATTCGGTCCCCCGTGGTGGAGCTTAGCCCGCCACGAGAGCCTGTCTGCTCCACCAGCACCGCAGATCCGAAGCATTAGAGGGACCTGGAAACTGGGTCAACTTCGAATAAGTAGAAGCTGCAGAATGCACAGGCAAAGCAGGAGAGAGAGGGAAAGCTAAGGGACATTGATTTGAATTTTGGAAGTGAAGGGGAGAAATGTAGGCCATGCATATTTTAGAAAAATCCAGAGCTGGAGAAAAGGTTCTTTTTGAACATGTCAGCTGATCAGTCTTGACACCCGTGTCTGCCCTCAGCCTCTCCATCCCTGTCTTTTACCCTCAGGCTCTATTTCTAATCTGTCAATTTTAGGTTTGAGCATTAGTAATTGTAGTATAGGAAAACTCATAATTCCTGTCTAGATCATTTACTGGAACTCACTGGAAAGAGTGTGTTTGAAGACCAGAAAAAATGTATTCTTCTGTATGTTGGATATAGTTTAGTTTATTTGTTTATGTGTGCAAGAATCCACTAACAGAAAATTACCAAATTGATCTTGGTATTACCATGTTTTTTGCACATTTACTATGGAAGTACCATAGTTTTTCTTTGAGATATTTAATACCATAGTATTATTCTTTGATTTGAACTGATTTTTCTTTCATTTTTATATATGCAGTTTAATCTCATAAATTAAGAGACTGTTTGATATCTTTTTAATATAAATATTTTTTTTATAATTAAAATTGTCATACAGCAAGAGTATGAAGAATGATGGTGAAAGAGCATAATGATATGAAAAGCTTAAAATTAAAAAATTAAAAATGTTTTCTAATTCTTTTAAAATTGTTTTATATGCCTATATATTCAGAAATACTTTTGAAGTGTAACAAAATATTTTTATTACTAAAATTCTTTATTAATTAAACACTTATTTTTATTATTATTACATATATTTCATTTTACTTATTTTATTTCAGTGAATTAAAGTTGGTGGAACACTTAAAATGCCATGAGTTTTTTGTAAATGACAATACTGCTACAAGGTTCCGCTAGTTCATGCTTTAAAACCCCTAATACACAAGCCCTGCAGTAAAATGCACCTTGCTGAGAAGAGAAGTGCTCTTTCTCCTCTCGCGTGCCTCTTTAGTCAGTCCATGCGACTGTGGTGCGACTGCTGCTTTTGTTTGTAAGGGTCAGTTGAGAGCAACTCCAGTTGTACTACTTATAAAGTAGAAGCAACTTTTTTTAGGTCAGCTGGCCAGCTCAGGCTCTTTTAGGTCTATCTTGTTATGCTCACATGGCTAAGAGAAGGGAAAAAATAATGTATCAAGTGCATTTTAGAGGCCTGATGTACCTGGTATGCTGACACCAGAATGATATGTTGTTCTGTTGGCCAAAGTCCACAGTCTGTGATTTAGTGAGGATGATTACAGCCGGTTGAGTGGTATAAAGCAGAGTGTATGAACATCTTATCTCAAAGTAGATTCCTGCCGGCCATTTGACACAAATATGAGACATTCTTATGTCAGGTGTGTTTTTTTGATTAACAGCGTAGGCCTAAAAAAAGTTTAAAAATGGAGCACAATTTCAGAATGTTGTATCTAGTATCTAATTGGTTAGCGCAATGAATTTTACATTTGGCATTATTGTAGTAATATAATAATTTTTTTTTTTTTACAGATAAAATGAGCCAAAAAAGAGATTTCACTCAAGACTAAAAGTAAAAAATTATTAAATGCCCATGCAATACTAGAATTTGCAAAGTTAAGGCATGACCACTGGACAGCGAAATGGAAGTTGGAAGACCATTGGAAGTTTTGGGAGTTTATTTTTAGTCCATCTCTGCAAGACAGACTTTTCAGGATAGGAGATGGACTAAAAATGAGCTCCCAAAACTTACTGCCAGATTCTGGAAGATAAATTGTTGAAAGAGTAGTACAAGAGGATGTGGTGCTGGTCCTTCAAGAGTCACTCTCAACTTATCGGTCCATAAAGCCTAGGAAAAAAAATCAGTCTTCATGTATTTCACAACACTTCAGCATGTTATTTGTATTAAAAGCTTAAAATTAAAAAATTAAAAATGTTTTCTAATTCTTTTAAAATTATTTTATATGCCTATATATTCAGAAATACTTTTGAAATGTAACAAAATATTTTTATTACTAAAATTCTTTATTAATTAAACACTTATTTTTATTATTATTACATATATTTCATTTTACTTATTTTATTTCAGTGAATTAAAGTTGGTGGAACACTTAAAATGCCATGAGTTTTTTGTAAATGGCAATACTGCTACAAGGTTCTGCTAGTTCATGCTTTAAAACCCCTAATACACAAGCCCTGCAGTAAAATGCACCTTGCTGAGAAGAGAAGTGCTCTTTCTCCTCTCGCGTGCCTCTTTAGTCAGTCCATGCGACTGGTGCGACTGCTGCTTTTGTTTGTAAGGGTCAGTTGAGAGCAACTCCAGTTGTACTACTTATAAAGTAGAAGCACCTTTTTTTAGGTCAGCTGGCCAGCTCAGGCTCTTTTAGGTCTATCTTGTTATGCTCACATGGCTAAGAGAAGGGAAAAAATCATGTATCAAGTGCATTTTAGAGGCCTGATGTACCTGGTATGCTGACACCAGAATGATATGTTGTTCTGTTGGCCAAAGTCCACAGTCTGTGATTTAGTGAGGATGATTACAGCCGGTTGAGTGGTATAAAGCAGAGTGTATGAACATCTTATCTCAAAGTAGATTCCTGCCGGCCATTTGACACAAATATGAGACATTCTTATGTCAGGTGTGTTTTTTTGATTAACAGCGTAGGCCTAAAAAAAAGTTTAAAAATGGAGCACAATTTCAGAATGTTGTATCTAGTATCTAATTGGTTAGCACAATGAATTTTACATTTGGCATTATTGTAGTAATATAATAATTTTTTTTTTTTTTACAGATAAAATGAGCCAAAAAAGAGATTTCACTCAAGACTAAAAGTAAAAAATTATTAAATGCCCATGCAATACTAGAATTTGCAAAGTTAAGGCATGACCATTGGACAGCGAAATGGAAGTTGGAAGACCATTGGAAGTTTTGGGAGTTTATTTTTAGTCCATCTCTGCAAGACAGACTTTTCAGGATAGGAGATGGACTAAAAATGAGCTCCCAAAACTTACTGCCAGATTCTGGAAGATAAATTGTTGAAAGAGTAGTACAAGAGGATGTGGTGCTGGTCCTTCAAGAGTCACTCTCAACTTATCGGCCCATAAAGCCTAGGAAAAAAATCAGTCTTCATGTATTTCACAACACTTCAGCATGTTATTCGTATCAAGCGAGGGTCATTTTTTTAGGATTTTTTTTACTCAAGCAAAGTCTCTGAGAACCTGACACAGGTGGAGACTCCAGGTAGGTTGCAGTTCTGGAAAATAGTGGTGTTGGAGACTAAATGGTTCCTGATGGTTTCACACCTAATTCTTCACCTTAATTCTTAATTATTTTGCAGTTAGCATGTGTCTTTTCTTCTCCACCTGTTTTTTCTGACCGTGCTGACCCAATGAGCATTTCGCTGTCTAATTGTCATGCCTTAACTTTGCAAATTTTAGTATTGCATTAGTATTGCACCCTTCTCATGGGCATTTAATAATTTTTGACTTTTAGTCAGAGTTAAATCTCTTTTTTGGCTCATTTTATCTGTAAAAGAAAACCTGCTTAATAATTATGCACACCTGAATATAAGGAGTTTTTCACTTCCAGCCTTCATGAACAATTATATATCAATTTTAAATGATTAAATACAAAATTAATAGTAGTTATTAAGATTGATGTGGTTTAGATTTGGTCAAATGTGCTTGGAAAAAAAATATCAGAATATCAACTTGTCTAATAATTATGTTGGCACTGTATATAAATGTATATATTGTATTGTATTATTTATTTTATTTTTTTTTATATATTTTCTATAGTACGGTGTGGTCTCTCTAGGATTTCAGACAGGCTGGTGTAACACAGTCTGGGCCTGGTGCTTTAGGAATCGGCATGATTGGAAATTCCGTGTGAGGACAAAAAGTTCCCCTGTAGATTTTGCACATTTTCAAATAATGTGAATTTGTCAATGAAAAATTGCTTTGAAAGTGACTTCTATCTGAGCTGTGCTTCATATACATTTCTAAACTATTGGCAATCAACAATGCCTTTATTGCCTGTAAAATTTCACTGAAGCTACGCTAATGTGACTACACCTTAAGGCTAGGCTATCCAAGGTAATTCTGCGATCAGAAATTGCTGTCTGTTTTTGATAATTGATTTTGATATTTGAAAAACAGCCTATGTAGAGAATGACGCCTTAAACACACTGCCATGTACCCACAGTCTTTCTGCCAGCCCACCTCAATGTAATCCCAAGGCGAGTATGGAATGGAATGTGTGAGGACTGTAGGTTTGGCTACAGGCCGAGGGCCAGGGACTGATCCAGTACTCTAGGGTGTGGTGACCACATGATTACACCATCCGGGGGGATGTTTACCCCACTCACACACCACAAAGCCTCCTTATTGTGGCTCATCAATCTCTGCCACTAGCCACACCACACCACCGGAGCCTTTCCCGGTATAACGTGTGGTCATGGTTTTCAACTTTTTTTTTTGTGACCCATATTACACTATATTACCCATGCAAAATGTTTCATTGATTCATGTCTGTGCTTTGTGTATTTGTGGTGTTTAGTTAACCCCATTTCATCTTTATTTAGACTACCTAGCCAAGCATGGACGGCTGAGCGAACCAGAGGCACGACGCAAGTTCTGGCAAATTCTGTCTGCTGTTGAGTACTGCCACAATCGAAACATCGTTCACCGGGACTTGAAGGCGGAGAATCTGCTGCTAGATGGACACATGAACATCAAGATTGCTGGTAAAGGCCGTCACAGTTACATTAACTAAACTTTTGATACATTACTAATCTTTGGTACACTGGCACTATTGATATTGAATTGTTGTAAAATATAAAACAGCTGTTTTATATTATTTGATATGTTTGATATAGTTTTATTATTTGTACTATATTATTATTTGCATATTATATACACATTTAACTAATTTGATATTATATAATATATAATTTATGGTTATAATAATTATATTTTTCTTATATATAAGAAAATGCTTTGAGCATCCATGCAAGGCTCTCAGCGAAAGGAGAGCTTCCCACACACATATGTGCGCACATATTCACACGCAGACCAAACATTGTCAGTTTCCCTGACATGTCAACCTGCTCTCTGCCCAAAACTCCGCTATCATGTTGGTAGATTATGATGTTTGGCACAGCAAGTAATGCAGTGGCCAGTCACAGAGGAGTGTCCTGCAAGGCTTTGTTAAAGGTCCTTTTTCTTTTAGCCCTCACACTGATTCACAGTCAGCCTCTCAGAAGATGGCTGAAGCACGGTCACTCAAAGAAAGGTCATCAGCCTTTTATGTTCCACTTCAAACATTTATGTGCCTGCATCTTGACTAAAAGAAGACAGTGAAACTCGTAATCTATAAACTATGAAAAGATATGTCCATATTATACAGATATATAGAGCAAAATATGTTTCAATTTACAGTGGTTTTGTGTTGTGATTACATGACATATTAACATTTCAAAGCATGAAGCAAGAGAAGAGTGTACACTACAACTTGTTTTCCCATAAATCATGTTAAATGAGCAAACCTGTGGGAGCGAGAGACTTCCTGGGGGTGGGCAATGATTGGGAAACCATATGAAAATGGTTAGGATTGGATCCCCAGAGATCTTTACACAATCAACCTCCAGCACCAATCCAATGCACAGCATGTAACGTATGTCCGCTGCATAACGAAATTATGAGAGCCAGAGCTATTGACCTCAATAACAGCTTTTATTTAAAGTAACAAAAAGATCCGCTCTGCCTGTAAATATGGCACTAGCCACTGTTTCAAAGCTGCAGGAGTTAAGCTCTGAGGCCGGATGAGATTGAGTGATTCCTGTATTGAATGTTGAGGCTCACTCCTGCAGTGTCTGCCGCTGGACTGCCTAGAGCATTGACGTCAATTCCTCCTGCTCAGCATTCAACTCATGAAGTGGGTCAGCGCAACTGATATGGACTCATCATACTGGCTTCTTACATCACAGTCACAATGTATAATGAACATGGCTGCTTTTTATCTCTCCCTTAAGGTTCACATTTTCATTTCATGAGGCCCCTGAAGCTCAGAATCTAGACAAACTCATAATACTCACTGTAATTGAAATAAAATTGAAATTTATTTTATTTGTTTTATTTATTTTTTATATAACCTTCAAACAATATAATTGCAATAATTTCAATAATTCAAATTGTTTATTTTTCTTACCACCTTGGCAATTTTTCCCGTTTTAAGCATAAATTTAGTGAGGTTTATGCTTAAAACAAGAAAATAATGCCAATGTAAGAAAAAAATAAACCTAATTCAAGATGTAGCAGATCCTAATATCTTATGCCGTTCTTGTTTAAAGGATCTGTAGATTTTTTTATTTTTTTTTCTGGAAAACCAGAAAAAAATATTTATATATACATAATATAATATGTAAGTTGTTGTTGTTGTTTTTTTGCAGTTGCACAGTTATGAACAAATACAGGCTTGTAGCCTATGCTTTTAAGGAAGGTCGACTGTTATACACTAGGACTTTCATATTTTTCCAAGAGCCATATTTGGCCATCTCGCACCACTGTCTTTGACTTCTGGCAGTGGTGGCCTTTGTATATAATCTCTGAGCACTTTGTAAAGCTCATCCAACCCATTGAAGTCAGAGTGAGGTAGTGACCCTCTGTTCCTTCATTGGCTGTTGTCAGCATACCGTATTATACAACATTTGCCAGTAGACGTAGTGTGGTACTGTATAATGCCAATTTAGTCGCATAGGAATTTTAAGTGACCTTATGTAATGTAGTCGGATCTTTTCTAATAATTTACTCAATGTTACAAAAGCTTGTTAGTCAAAGTATAAATCAAGTCACTGTTTATTTCTTTCATAAAGCCCCCATAAAAAAAATGTTCAGCACAGTTTTGATGTATTACCTATTGAAACAGGAATTTAATATGAGACATTTGAAAGGGTTTGTGCCTTTTATAAAATAGCCAATAGGCTTTAGTTACATCACAGCCATGATGTTAGAGGCAGTATTACTGGGAGGGATATTCTTATTTTAGAAAGCATTTGATTGGAGAGAGATCTGTAGTGTAGGGTGAATATCTTTGCTCTGTTTTCAATAACTGTATAAAGTTGAATGACTATACATTTTAAATGCTTATATCTAAAATTATTTTTAGGAAAGGACTAGCAAATATATAGCCTCAGACACTCAAATTTTGTTTTCATGAGATTTGAAATATTTTAAAATGCTGTCTATATAAAAATTGCTGTCTGACTGTACTGCAGGCAAAATTACACACTAATGGCAAAGTTTGTGTGGAAATGATTTTTATTTTAATTTTTTGGTAATGGCCTTTCAATGAGTACAGCTCTAATATTATTCATCAAAGTCGAAAGAAGTGGGCTGCAAAAGCATCGTTCTGTGAGCTTTGAGGATGTGTGAAGGAAATGTGTTTTTGGCTTGGGTTATTAGAGAAGGATGTTTTTGCAATGTCTGTACTTTCAGAGTCATGGGTAGTAACTTTACAGTAAGGTAAACATTACACCTCTTTCCCAACTTTTGACGTTTGATGACAAATAATTCAAACACTTACAGGAGCCATTATTCATTTTTTGCCACACTTGCCAAAAGTGGGTAAATTGAGAAAATTTAACAGACATAAATATGTCTCACCAGTCATAAACCTGTGTTAGGCATTATTTTTATGAATATTTTATTCATATAAGCATCTGGAATTTTAAAGTTGAGACTTTGCCCTGGAAAGGTCATGGAAATGAAATGTACACTGCATTTCAGAAGTTTGGGGTCTGTACGATTTAAAAAAAAACATTATAATCAATGCATATATCCAGCATAGATTCATTAAACTGACATCAAAACCATTTATAATGTTACAAGAAATAAATGCTAGTCTCTTCAACTTTCTGTTCATGAGACATTAAAGACTTGAGTAATGGCTGCTGAAATTTCAGCTTTGCCATCACAGGAATAAATTTACATATACATTTTAAAATATATTAAAATAGAAATCAGTTATTCTAAATTGTAATTAGATTTCCGAATATTACTGTTTTTATTGTATTTGTGAGCATAAAAGACTTCAAAAACATTAGAAAATCATTCCAACCCTAAACTTTTGAACAACAGTGCAATTTATTAAATCAGTTTATAAGAATATGTGTAGGAAGAAGTATTTAATCAACTTTTTATTTTTTAAACAGCAGTCACAAATGACTGGAAAAGTTCACCAGTCACCATTGTATTGGAACCTTGGTTGTAAAATCAATATTGTAATGAAACCTTCCCATTTATTGTCCCCTAAAGCTGAAATGTGATCTATGTCCCTGAACACAGACATAGCAAACCCTGTCAGTTTCATTTTAACATCACCTTTCTCTATTTTCCATGCTTTCAGATTTTGGCTTTGGAAATTTCTTCCAGTCAGGAAAGCCCCTGGCCACATGGTGCGGGAGTCCTCCATATGCAGCCCCGGAGGTGTTTGAGGGACAGCAGTATGAAGGACCCCAGCTGGACATCTGGGTAATGCCGCTCTGCACTGATCTGACAAGCCGGCGTATCCATGCAGGTTCACACCACAGTGTGTCTGACAGTAAATGATTAGTGAGTCAGCTGACTGTTGTTTGTGTTACCACCTATTCAACCTTTGAGAACTCAGCTGACGTCAAAGCGTAAACCAAACACCCTGTGGTCTGTGTGAGAGAGATGGAGATCAGACCATGTGAAAGCTCTCTTGCTCTCGTTTTACTGCCATTAAAAGAAGAGTTTGCCCAAAAGTGAAAATCAGTTGCTTACCCTCAAGTCGCTTCCAAATCACCTGCGGGCTTTCACATGGAGCAGCATTAACTACACAGAGCCGTTGTTCACTGACGAGCTGCGCAAAACCACGTTCATATTCGCGCGATTTTTAGCGCAGCTCGTCAGTGAACAACGGCTCTGTGTAGTTAATGCTGCTCCATGTGAAAGCCCGCAGGTGATGGAGATTTACCGCTGATTACAGAACCGGCTTTCTGACAAGATGCGCGTTAAATATCGCATGCGATTAATCGTGCAGCCCTATTCCAAACCCATATGACCTTTTTGTTAGGCAAGATTCTCATATACAATGAAAAAAGAGCAGCATTAACATTCTGCTAAACATCTTTTGTGTTCCGTAAAAAAAGTAACTTATTCAAAGTTAGAACTGACATGAGGGTGAATAAATATTCATTTTTAGGGTGATCTATCCCTTTAAGTGTGTGCACCTGCACATTATAATCGTGTTATTCACCACTGAGCTGACGCTGTGTGTGTGTGTTCCTGCAGAGTATGGGGGTGGTTCTGTACGTGCTGGTGTGTGGCGCCCTGCCCTTCGATGGCCCCTCTCTCCCTGTCCTGCGGCAGCGTGTTCTGGAGGGCCGTTTCCGTATCCCTTACTTCATGACAGAAGGTGAGACGCTCTCGTAGCACACGAAGCCACCACTAGGAGAGTTTTCTGGCAGCAGTTGCTGTTTTTTCATGAAATTCAAGCCTGGTCAATTAAAACATTCCATAAGTGCTTGGCTACAGTTTGTGTGTGTCTGGACTGTATAAAGAGGAAGGGCTCTAACTGCTCGGAGACATTTAGCAGTGGAACATGAAATTAGTCTCGATGATCCACTAGTAAACTAATCATCCTGTAACCGTCTCTAGTAATGAGGTCGACTGGTAGGAATGCAGTGATATTACAATTCTGGTCGATACCAATAAACTGATTTTTTGTTTTATTCTATTGATGATAAGCCAATTAAGTTCCATTATGTAGAATTAATTTTAAATGCTACAAGTGAATTTAAGAATCACAGCATTATATGTACATGTCAAAAATGATATTCATTTTGAGATTTGCTAAATTACGTTTAACAGTGTTATTAAATTATTAGCATTTTCAAAGATTAATTTACAGGGAACATTAGATGATGCCAAAGGTAATCTACTCTTCCTGTTCAGAAATTTGAGTTGGGTAAGATGTATTATTATGTTTTTGAAAGAAGTCTCTTATGCTCACTAAAACTGCATTTATTTGTAGTTAATGTGAAATATTATTGGAATTTAAGATAACCATTTTCTATTTAAATATATTTTAAAATGAAATTTATTCCTGTGATGCAGTACTGAATTTTTCGGCAGCCATTTCTCCAGCATTTAGAGTCACATGATTCTTCAGAAATCATTGCTAATGTTGATTTGGTGCTTAAAAACATTCCTTATTATTATCAATGTTGAAAACAGTTGTGCTGCATAATATTTTTCTGGAATCTTGTGGATAAATGTTTTCATGACTCTTTGGTGAATATAAAGTTCAAAAGAACAATATTTATTGTAAAGTTTTTACTGACAATTTTGATCAATTAAATACACCCTTGCTGAATAAAAGTATTACTTTCTTTCAAACTGACACCAAACTTTTGAACTGTAGTTTAAAAATAAAAATCAGGGAAATTAACAATTAATAAATAAATGATGCAATTATTAAATTAAATCACTGATGATACTGCTATATTATGCATCCCTATTGACTAGTGTATCTGATTTTTTTCCTTTTTAAAAATTTAGTTTGAGCATTTTTTTCCTTTATTATGATAGAACCGTATGTAGACAGGAAGGGGAGGGGGGGGGGGGATCACGAAAGGTCCACGAGCCAGGACTCAAACTCGGGATGCACTAAGCACAACGGCGCTATATGTCGGCACGCTGCCCACGAGGCTATTGGCACCGATTGATTTTTTTTCCTTTTTAGTTTATATTTTAGCATGGATTCCACCATTGTTTATTTTATAGTGTTTCAAGTCATAGATAGTATTTTGAAAGCACGTCTCGAGATCTTGCTAGCTGAATGAACCCACTAAGTAAAGGCCCCTAAAGAAATGCATCCAATCGGAGTCAGGTGAACCAGAAAGCCGATCTAATTACACAGGGCTTCCTTAAAACTGATTAGTCCACTAGTTGTTAACCCACTCACTTTAAAGTGAGTGACCCATGCTAAATAAAATCACAGCAGTCAACATTTACTCCACTCATTTTACAGGCAGAATAACACAAGCCGCGAAGGCCAAGATTGTGAGCGAGATAGAAATGAGGGCAAGAGAGATAAAGTGAGAGGGCAACGGGTGAGAGCAAGACAGTTCAGACTATCCTCACTGGCAGCGAGCCAGTTCTCGGCAGACTCTGAGAGAGGTAGGGCGGTGGGCTGCTCTTGACGTAAGAGTCAGAATGTCACATTCGTTCATTCTACACAAGCTTTGCTCGCTGTGATTAAGCACAGATCAAGTAACCCGAGGAAGAGCGAACACACGTTAACCTACCGGTCCTGGCAGGATGGCCCCTGATTGGGGGGGAAGGGGGCCGGTTGTAAGGGTCAGTTGACTTTGTTCAAGACATTTACACAATTAAGCCACGTTGAGAATTTTACTGTATAACAAGCCCTTATGGGTCTCTGAGTGAAGCGGAGCATTACTCCTCAAATGAGAAGAACAGCATGTGTTTTTCCTTTACATTTCCTTTTCAAATGCTCTCATCACACAGGATTTCACCCCTACGGAGTATCGACCCCTCCTCAGCATGCTCTTAGCCAAGAGTGCTAGTACACACCACACACTACATGCTACACACTACTCTACACGGTGAATACAGCACACGCACCATTAGGAAAGATTATGAGTGCCTGGTGTGTTATACAGGGAGTTTTGGCTTTTCCAGAATTATCCTGGATGGAACATTCAGGAACTTGCACAGTAATGGCATTATCTTCTATGACATGTACTGTAGGACGAATGTCAGAAAAGCAAACTTTCCTACAGTATTTGTCTAATAATTAGAGGGTAAAATAAAATTATGGATAAGGAAGATACTTTAACTTAGAAATTTGGGATTCGCTGCAAATTAAGAAAATGTGTTTAATACACTGTTAAAAAAAATTGGTAACACTTTAGTATAGGGACCAATTCTCACTATTAACTAGTTGCTTATTAGCATGCCTATTAATATATTTAGCTGTTTATTAGTTGTTATAAAGCACATTCTGCATGACCATATTCTACATCCCTAATCCTACTCAATACCTAAACCTAACAACTACATTACTATTAATAAGCAGCTAATTAGTAGTTTATTAAGGCAAAATTCATAGTTAATTGTTTGTTAATTGCGAGAATTGGACCTTAAAATAAAGTGTGACACAAATTTAAACTGGCTTAAAAAAAATCGAGTTGAATCTCATGTAACTTAAACTTGAAATTGGTTAAATTATTTTGATGAGTTAAAATATGAAAAAAACATTTGTTGCCATGACTTACTGATCATATAATTTATATATATATATATATATATATATATATATATATAGGTGTCACCAGAAATCACAAGTATATTTGAAAAGATCTTTAAAATAATGTAATGGATGGAGAATGTTTTTTTTTTTTTTCATTTGTGTTTTATTTTTTACATTTTATTATTCTATTTCTCCTTGTTCTTGCCTTGAAAATAGTCCTTGCTGCTTAAGTTTCATTAACAAATTTGAATCCTTAGTTTTGACACGTCCCTGAATTTACGCAGGGGGGAAAAATCTGGATATCAGCTTGAATTGTTCCTAAAATGTGATCTGAAGACAAAATGAGGTTTATGATTCTACATTGTCTTTACATGGCAAAAGCCCTGCAAAAGCTGCATCTTAATCTGCATATATACCCAAAAAGGTGCATTTAAGCTGTTGCATGCTGCATAGAGGCAGTGCATTTACACAGAAGTTTTACAGCTGTACATTTTTGTTGAAATATACAACAGTAAAGTTTAAGGCTGCACTGATGCCGGATCATTTGCACACCATCTGATCCTCCTCTGATACTGGGGTCTTTAAGCAGATGTTAAAGTCGATAATACTTCTGAAACAAAGTTCTGTGGGTTAAACTTTAACTTTTTGGGTAAATATAAACATCTTTATGTTCAGGGAAAACAAAGCACTGCATACCAACACCAAAACGTCATCCTTACCATGATTGAAGAGGTGAAATGGTGTTGAGCTGCTTTGAACAGCCAAGATCAATGAACTCTAAGAGGAAACAAGACTCTACAGCAGCTGTGTAAGATCTAAAGCTCAAAGATGCTGGGCCATGTTCCATGATCCAAAACACAAGTCAGTTACAAAGTGACTCAGACAGTCTGTGTTTCAGGATTTTAAAATTCTAGTCCTGGGCTTGAAGGGATAGTTTACTCAGAAATGAAAATTCAATAATTGCCTCACCCTCATGTTGTTCCAAACCTTTATGCATTTCTCTTTTTTTCTGTGGAACAAGTTAGAAGATATTTAAGAATGTTGGCAACCAAATAGCTTTTGTTCCCATTGACTTCCATTGTATTTTTTGTTTATATAATGGAAGTCAACGGAACCGAAACTTGTCACCAACATTCTTCAAAATAGTTTATGCTGCATCTAATAAGAAAGAAAGTCATACAGGTTGTTACTGACATGAGGAGTAAATGATAACCGAATTTTCATTTTTGTTTCTTAAATACTGTTCTCAATTTCGTCTTTAAAGCACATGGTGATTAAAAAGCTAGAAATATCAGTATAACATATCAGTTTGCATCTGAAGAACCATTAATCCTAAAATCAAGGTTCACAAACTGTTCCTCACAGCTGTATTTATGCATATGATTTCTACATGAATATGGTAATAAGATTCTCTGATTCCCACTGCTGAAGTGAGTGAGGGAGCTGTCGGGAGGAGGATGTTTCCAGCAAGACATCCCACTGTGTTCCAGCACAAGGAGTATTACTGTAGCTGTGCGTGTGCGACTCCCTCTGTTTGCTCTAATGTCTCGCAGGCTCTCCAGCAACTCTACATGCAGCAGATTAACAGGATGAGCGAGTCTTGAATAAAATGGTCAGCAGCGAGATGCAAAGGAGCATTGAGAACGCCCACATAACCACCAGTCTCGTGATGTCAGTTTCATTCAGTCTAGCTGAGTCAGAGAGACATGGTCAATAGTCAAGGGCACAGGGACAGACAAAAGGCCTTGTGCGTTCTCGGATGAGATAATGTGTTTTGGGTTTGTGTTAGTCCGACAGTGCAGTGTCTGTTGGATGGTTTTTTAGCTGTTGACAGACTGTTCCACAAATCTTGTCCCAAGCATTGGATGGTACAGGCTGTCACCACTTCTTAGTGTACTGTGTGCCTCAGATGCAGCAGTGTTTACTGTGAAGCAAACACACTGTGACCCTTTCAGGTTAAGATTGTACAGAGCCGCTCAGTTCTCACTGCTTAGACAAGCACAGAACTTTCTTTCTGCTCCCACAATTATTTGATAATACTTGACTAATAATAATAATAATAATAATAGTTTACTTGTAAGTGTTATCAGAAGAAACAGTTCTTCGGCCAAGTAAACTGTAGGCTGTTTGGGTTTTGCAAAGTAACATAGTAACTTGGTGCATATGCTGTCGCGTGTATTTAGGAATATTTTACAATGGGTTTTGAATCATTGTAGTACATTTAATGACCATAAATTATTATTTTTTCTGCCACAAAGCTGTATTTTGTATTAAATGTATATTGAAATGGGTGTTCTTAGACATGTGAAGCAAAACACCTAGTAAATTGTCTTCTATTTAAGTACTTTTGTGTATTCCTGTAAAGGCAAAGCTGATTTTTCAAAGCAGATTTCGACCTTTACTTCAATGCCTTCAGTGTCTCATGATACTTCAGAAATCATTCTAATATGCTGATTTGGTGTATTATCATCAATGTTAAAAGCTAGTAAGAGCTGTGCATGTAAACCTCACTCGCCTGCGGTCTTTAGTGTCCTTGTTAGCACACCTTCATCCCATGCTGGAAGCGCTGGTTTGAATCCTGCTTGGAGCAGGTTGAGTAGAACTGGAAGGGTTATATTGGCAAGTGTCATGCTTATCTTTTTTCTTTTTCTGTGCAGACTGTGAGCATCTGATCAGGCGGATGTTGGTGTTAGACCCCTCCAAGCGTCTGTCTATAGGACAAATAAAGGAACACAAGTGGATGGTGATGGAGGTGCCTGTGCAGCGGCCTATGTTATATCAGCAGACTGCAGAGGGGGAGGCTAGTGTGGGAGAATACAGTGAACAGGTGCTCCGGTTAATGCACAGCCTTGGCATCGACCAGCACAAAACCGTAGAGGTGAGAAATTACACAAATTTTAAGAAATAAAATTACTCTTAATGTTCAAAACAGGCTTGACTAATGTGGCTTTTATTGATAATTTCTCCATCTGTTCTGCAGTCTCTTCAGAATAAGAGTTACAATCATTTTGCTGCTATCTACTTCTTGCTGGTTGAGAGGCTAAAGGCCCACCGCTGCAGTTTCCCAGTGGAGCCCCAACTCGATGCCCGCCAGAGACGTCCCAGTACGATTGCAGAGCAGACTGTCGTCAAGGTATTACTCTTCAAATTGCCTCTGAAAATGTAAATAACGGCGTTGGCCATGCAGTTGACTGTTTCTGTTGGTGTATCTCTTTTTCTACACTGTAGGCGAGCAGCGCTGCTCCTCAGGTGAGCCTCCTGCCTCAGAACGTACGTCTCCTGCGATCCCCAGCTGTGCCTCAAGCCTCTGCAGACTCCTTCACGTTCCCACAGTCCTGTGCTACAGAACACAGCTTCATGGAGGAGGTTGGGACTCCCAAAGTGAGTGAGAAATGGATTAGAGGTTGAATTATGGTGGAATTAAGCTTTTGTTACTCTCTGTAGCCTGTTTAGACTGTAGCATAGCAAATGTTTAAGATCTCCTAAATTTTTAGTGCCAATACCGTTGTTCGAGGAAATGGAGACCAAGAACCAATGTCAAAAATATTTTTTTGTTAAAGGGCAATATTTTTCCACTATATTTTTTAAGGTATAGATAGATAATTCATAAATAAATTTTTTTAAATACCTTTTTTTTATATGTAAAGGCTAAAGGAATTAAGAGGAATTTTGTTCTCACATATTACATTTTTTTTTATTTTCTTACAATGTCTCTCCCATTGTCTACCATATATGTGCTTTAATAAAATCCCCCATAATCCCATTTTTGGGGGGTGTTGATTAGCAGGTACAAACATCTGTTGGGACAGAGTTGAATCTGACTGCTGCCCACTGAGTGCTCTTGCACTCCTTTCCTACATTGCTGTTAAGCAACTTCAGTCCTTCCAAGGTCAGGCAGTGGGCCTGGCTGTTTGCTCAGGCCTCCTCATCACGCCCGCTCCCCGAGGAGCCTTTTGTTCAGAACCATCCTGACAGACGGCCAGATCGGCTGCCAGTTTGGCATACAGAACAGGAATAACAGCACAGGAGCCGGCCAGCTCTGCTACTCTATCTCCTCACTAGAGTCCTAGTTACGCCGTCTTCATTTTTATCTATCTGTCTCTCTCTGCTGTCATTCTTGAGACAGTAATTTGCTCTCTCCAAGACTCTTCTTTCATGCACATACTTTGTTTTAATGCCTTTTGCGTCGATGAGGGAGAAGCTGTTTACTTTGATGGTTTTTCATTTTTGTCTCTGATGGTGAGGTGAGACATACACTATGAGTGTTTCCCCTTGAGGCCGTCCACAGCTGTTTGGCTTACACAAGCGGGTCAGACTGCAGTCGTCTCTGGCAGTGACACACATTGGTGACAACTGTCCATTCGCTTCGGCTTAGTCGTTCCACTCTTTCTTCTCTCTCTTTCACTCTCACATTCAAGCACACCACAAACTGTCTGGCTTTGTGTGCACTGGTATTTTACCATCTTCGGAAATGTGGAGTTAATGCGCATTCATGGCTTTCATACTGAACATTGCATCAGCCAGTTCCTCTCTTGAACAATGTGTTCAATAAACAATCCCTTACAAAATTTCTCTTATTGTAAAACTTGTATCGGTAAATGTCACCTGTATACATGTTTGGGTTTGGTTTTGCAGAGGAAATAATTGATGCAAAACTCAGTAGGAAATCATTTGGTTGGTATTTATATAAATGACATTTATGATATTTAAATAGGATATTTAATGCAAAAAAATCAAGTCCTTTCCTTTTTTTTTAATATATATTTTCTGTTTTCACTTTAATTGTAGTTAAAGGTTTAGTAATTTTGTATTTTTATAATTTATTAGCTTTTTAAATGTAAATTTTTTTTTTTTAAATGTGTGTGTAATGTGTTCATAGTTTCAATTAATTTTTATTCATCAGTTTTAGTTTATTTAGTTTGTTATTTTAGTACATCAAGTTTAATTGAAACTGAAAAATTTTGCTTTGGCAAGTTTATGTTTTACATTTTATTTCAGTTTACATTTATTTTGTTTCAAATAACATTTTTTGTTTTTTTTATCTTTTTTTTTCATCACAAATTGATTAGGTCATAAAAAGGCTATTTATGATTGGAGTGTGGACAGGAGAACTTGTTGACATTAGCAAAAAACAAAACTTTACAAAAAGATGACAAAAAATTGCACAAATAGTGTCTGTTTTCAGACAGGTTTCCCCAAACAAGCCCCCATGTGCTATTGGCTGAACAAACAGATAGCTCTGCCCCAAATTCACACCATTGGTTGAAGCAGTGTTGCTGTTGTCGGGCTAGTTGAGATGTTCAAACAAACAGGGCAATATTTTGAAAGCACCATAGAGATGGTTTACACTTTTAGGGGAAATAAATGTCTACAAATTGCTTATTTATAGTTGTCTCTGCATATTAAGATGAGACATTTTAGCACTGAAAAATGACACACTTTCCCTTTAAGATCAGAGGAGGAATTGTGACTCTCTCCAATATGAGATGTTGAAAATATGAAGCTTGATCTCAGAGAGTACGGCACAACCCCTGGTGGGGAAGGGACGGCTGGGATTACATAATTTGTTATGAGTCTGTATAATCACACTGTTTGTGTGTGAATAACAAAGGGGCTGGGCAAAATGATGGGCTGAAATGTAAAAAAAAAAAAAAAAGAGCAAGAGAGAGATGAAGGAAAGAAGAAAAAGAGAGGCTCTGAAGCTGTTCTTTAACTTTGTGTGTTGGTATAACAGCATTCCTGGCCCAGCATGCTGCAGGAAACTCAACTCATCCAGATGATCCATGTCGGTTGAGTGTGTGTTTGATGGCATGTCTCAGTGTACTCCGTCTGCATGAGGCTCTGACGGCCCTCTCAGCCAAAACACACTTCCTGTCCCTGCATTCCAGACTTCCACCCCCTCCTCTATAGCTCACTCATTTGTTTGAGTGAAAATCAGGAGTGAAAGAGAGGGAGCAATAAAAAGAGGCAAAAAGGGAGAGACTGCAGTGCTTTTGTTTTCTCTCACTCCATTCCCAAATCATTAGGGAATGTGTTCATGAAGTTCGGCCTGTCATCACAAAGCACGTTAAAGTTTGTGTGTGGTGCTGACTGAGTGGAAATGTGACTCAGGACTGTGAGTGACTTATGAGGGCTGATGGGAGATTAGAACTTGTTCTTGGGAAATACGATGCTTGAAGGCATGTTGCTTTATCTACATACCGGTGTAAATGAGAGTTCATCCAAAGACAAAGAAACATCCTAAGATTGGTCATCTTCCAAATCTTTTAAAGGAAATACATAAATTGCATATATATTACACTTCCACTTAGGGCTGCTCGATTATGGCAAAAATCATAATCACGATTATTTTGGCCAATATTGTAATCACGATTATTTAACACGATTATGAGGGGGCCATATGACCAAAACTTTATAGGAGTGATTTATTTAAAGATAGTGATACATATCAAATATATATTTCCTGTAAATAAGGTTGCTATGACATCTACATTGTAGAGACCAGCGGAATTTCAAACAAACAAACAAAAAGACTTCAAAATTATTGAAAATAATTAAACCGTCAGTAATAAAAAAGCAAAGGACAAATACAATAGAATAAAAAGATACAAATGAAACAAACTGTGCTTTAATGTTTTTTTATGCAAGTCTCAAGCAGTTTACAGCCTACTACAGAAATGAACAATCAAATGTAAAATAAAACAGCATAGTCTTCACTATAAGAATTAAACTTTTTTGTTTCTTATTAAAGCTACAAAAGTCCTTCACTCAAGAGCAGTGTGTGATTTTGAATTTGTCTTTTGTTGTTTGATTAAAGGGGTCATATGATGCTGCTAAAAAGAACATTATTTTGTGTATTTGGTGTAATGAAATGTGTTTTTGCGGTTTAAGGTTAAAAAACACATTATTTTCCACATACTGTACATTATTGTTTCTCCTCTATGCCCCGCCTTTCTGAAATGTGTCGATTTTTACAAAGCACATCGGTCTGAAAAAGCGAGGTGTGCTGTGATTGGCCATTAGTCAAGCCTGTTTTGTCAGACACCAGGACAGGTGGATAAGCAGCCGTCACTTGTCTTCAGACCAGCTTTACTAAACAACTTTACTTTCCTTCCGCTGGTAATTGAAACACTCCACCCCAATCAAGCAAAGTGAAAGAAAACCATTTCTGTGGCACGGATTTTCCGCATTGCCACACTCTCCCTCCCTGGAAGTAAACAACCTATGGTTGTAAAAAATAAATAAATAAAAACAAAAAAACTTTAAATTGAATGTAATTTAATCTCTCTAAATTATGAATTTATAGTTTTCAACAGTGCTTTTTATCTCACAATGTGACTTTACTGTATATTATAAAATTGTCTTAATCGTAATTGCCATTGCAACTTCAGTTCTCAAAAAATATGACTATTTCACATAATTGTGAGTATATAAGTCACAATATGACTTAATGTTTAGCAAAGTGACAATATCTCACATTTTTTACTTTATTTCTCAATAGTTGTGACTACAGTTCTAGGAAATGCGACTTTATAGTTGCCGGTTACTTTTTTTTAATGTGACTATATTGTCACATATATATGACTGTATCATAATTGCGACTTTATATCTCACAATTGTGGCTATATAATTTACAATATGACTTAGTGCTGTATCTTGCCGTGTTAATATCTTACATTTGTGACTTTCTGGTAATTGCAAATATATTTTTTGTAAATACAATTACATTATATTTTGAGACTATAAGTTTATCATAATTGCACCTTTTATTTCACAGTTGCAACTTATTCTCTTATGCAACTATATCTTGTGTTGTGGCTAAGTCTGTCAGGTTTGTGACTTTGAATTAATATCTCCTACATGCGATTTCAGGTCTTCTAGAAAAGCTTTCCAAATACGTTTCGCTACTTAGAGATCTTTACATTGTTTTGCAGGTCAACGGCTGCATGCTGGACCCCCTGCCCCCTGTGGCTATTCGCAAATCCAGCGCCTCGTCGCCCAGCAACATGATGGAGACCTCTATAGACGAGGGCATCGAGACGGAGGAGCTGGACACTGAGGATGATCATACTCATGTCTTCAATGCCTATCAGACAGCCCGCTTTGGACAGCGCAGACACACGCTGTCTGAGGTCACCAACCAGCCAGGAATCATTGGAGGTGGGTGTGGATTAAGGGTAACCACAAGGTTATACTGTAGGTTCAAACCCCACTTCATAGTCTCTGTATTAATAGTATCAGTTTGGATAAAAATGGTAATGAAATCACAATAATCTATTTCAGAAGTGTTAAAGGGGTCATATGATGCGATTTCAAGTTTTCCTTTCTCTTTGGAGTGTTACAAGCTGATTGTGAATAGATAAGATCCCTGAAGTTGCAAAGACTAAAGTCTCAAATCCAAAGAGATATTCTTTATCAACGTTAAGACTCTGCCACGCCCCCCCTAAAACGGCTCGTTCTAACACGCCCCCACATATCTACCTCACTATGTGGAAATATTTGCATAATGCCACCCAAATGTGCACGCAAAGAAAAAAGGCGTGGTTTCAGTAACCACAGTTAGTGTTGAAGCAGCCATGTCAGTGTGTTTCTAGGCGAAAGCAAAAGCACTTTATTTGGCCTTCCAAAAGTAGATGCATTTAGGAATCTTTAAGATTACTTACAACAGAACAGCAATGCATTTTTTTGGACGACCGTTTCGTGAACCTAGGAGAGGAGGTAATTCTGACTTTGCTATGACAATCTGGCGCTTCTGAATCAGCTACTGTTTTGTTATTAGTTTAAGTATTTGCTATTGACTGTTCAAATGCGGAGTTTTGTGCATCGTGTGTGTATGTGTGTGTGTGTGTGTGTGTTTACATTTATTTTGAAAGATGAAGCTCGCGATTATGGTAAGGGGCGTTACATTTCCGATGAGTGCTTGCGGTGTTCGGCCAATCACAATGCACTGGGTCAGCTGGCCAATCAGAGCAGACTGCGCTTGTCGGAAGGAGGGACTTTGTAGAAAACGAAGCGTTTGAGAAAGGCGGGGCATATAGGACCTACAATAATGTACAGTATTTGAAAAATAATGTGTTTTTTGAACATTAAAGCATGTCAACATATTCTGTTACAACAAATACACAAAATAATGATCTTTAAAAAAGCATCATATGACCCATTTAAGAGACTATAAATCTTTGTCACCTCTCTTTCTTAACCAGGCAAACTGTTTAGCGTGGGTCATAACCCCTCTCTGGGCAGCGTGGACTCGGAGTACGACATGGGCTCCATGCACAGTGACCTCAGTCTGCTGGAGGATGCACCCTCTCTTAACGAGGTGGTCCTGGCCAACACACCAGTCACCCGCATGACTCCACCCTTCATGAGTGCTCTGCCCGCTAACCCTGCCATGCAGGCACTGAGCGCCCAGAGGAGAGAGACACACAACCGCTCTCCCATCAGCTTCCGCGAGGGCCGCAGAGCATCAGACACCTCACTTACACAAGGTGAGCAGCATCCTGTGACTTTATACACTATCATTTAAATGTTTGAGGTAAACAAGATTTCTTGTTAAGTGATTAATACTTCTATTTTGCAAGGATGCATTAAAATGTACAGTAACACTGTTTCCACAAAAATGTTAAGCAGCACAAATCAGCATTATTAGAATGATTTCTGAAGGACCATGTGACACTTAGTTTGTTATACTGATAAATTCTCATAAAATAATTCAAATAAAAATAGCTTGCAATTAAATAAAAAATTAATTAATAAAATAATTTTAAGTGCACAATTTTGCACAAATTTACTAATGGTCTCAGATGTTTGAACTCCACTGTGGTTCATACATTAGATTCAATATCTTTTCCTTTTCCTTCTCTTTCTCTCACACTTACTGTTATTTTCACACACTCTCTCTCCCGGTTGTCTCTTGTTTTCCTCTAAATGCACCACCCCCTGTCAGATGATTCACTGAGTGAATCAGAGAGCGCTTTGAAGATTAGGCCAACTCGGTCCTATTGAGTTCTCTCATCCTGTGGCCTGAATAATTACCCTTAATCACTTGAAGCCCTAAAATAACCTGAGAATCCTTTTTTCAACCCTCTTCCGTTCAGCAGCAGAGGAGTCAAGAGCCACTAAACGGCATTTTAATGTGCACTTGAGCGATGAATAAAGCATTTGCAGCCTGCCTGGACATATCTTCTCCTGAAATAGACTGATTAGCTACGTTAAGTGAGGTCACATGTTAGAACCACACCGGAGCAGACAGAGGTGGCGTGGGTTTGAGGGAATGAAAGTCACTTCCTGTTTTCTGACACTCCCATGTGAAAATTCATGACCACACATGGATATGGACACTGGGGGTGGAACATCATCTGATGATCTGTAAGTCATTTGGAAATAACAGTGCTATTATTCATAATCTTACTCCTTCCTTCATGTAGGCTTGGTGGCCTTTAGACAGCACCTACAGAATCTGGCACGGACCAAAGGTATCCTGGAGCTAAATAAGGTGTATGAGCAGATGGGCTCTGGAGAAACCCCTTCCCTGGGGCTGCTGAGCCCTCAGGCCCATCCACATGACTTATTGGATCCTGCACTACAGGTCAGTCCACCAGGGAAGCTACTAGAAATCACAGATTTGAGCTAACCTGAGATTCGTTTTGTAGCATCCCTTACAATCAGGAATGACTGATGCAGAGGTTTTAAACTCGGAGCCGCCTGAAGGTCTGCAAAAAAAAGGGTCAGAACAAGTTAAAATAGTAACTACATTTGTTATTATGTGTTTTTACAGTTACCAAATTTGATGATATATACAGGGTTCGTACGGTCATGAAAAACCTGGAAAAGTCATGGAATTTTAAAACACCAATTTCCAGGCCTGGAAAAGTTTTGGAAAAATAAATAAACCCAGAAAGTTTTGGAAAAGTCATTGAAATCTATTTCACAAAACTCTGTATAATAGAATTGTGTTTAATCAGGTCCTGAATTTCGGTGCGGGATTGCACATAGGCTATATCGCATAGTTTTACTCATTCCCGCAGCTTTTGACTTTAAAATGATGGATATTCACACATTTATTCAATAGCCTATAGCATGTAGGTTTGATGAGTAAATAATCAAATCTACAGACTGAGTCCAGTCCACACAGACTGATCAAATCAGTGATTCAGCTGTACGCGTCTTCTCTCTTTGACTTTCTCTTCAAACGGCTTCACATCGGCGCATCTCGTCTGCGCTACAAGAGCCGCTGCACGCTGCGATACGAGACTTTCACTCGCATTTCGGGACAGTTGACAGAATAGTCACTTGCCTAATCGGGTCATTGTTGCATCGTCAGTAAATTTTATTATTTATTTGCACATCTTTTTAAGCCATTCGGTACTCGCGCGCTCCAGAGGCGGTGCGCAGTCACATCCAAAGTGCGCTCGTGCGTATATGAGTATTGAGTTTGCTACCAAATAAGCTCAGCAGAACCCTGCACGGGCCTCAAACATATGCCCTTATCCGACAGATTATCAGAATTACTGGCCGAGTCTTTTTGTCTTTTTTCTCTTTCTCTCTTCCCCAATTACACAGCTGCTGTTGTAGCCATTAAAATAGTTCAGTTTCATTTTTAATGGCAAAAGTGGTTATATATATTTTCGTTTCTTTATTACGTTAATTTAGAATATATATAATATATAGGCCTATATAAAATGCTTAAAAAAACAATGTTAGTTTAAATGGTTAACCTAGATAAATATGTGCTGTTAGGAGCGTATCCAATCGTTTGTGCAGAGAAGCTAAAGCGCGCTTTGCAGGACATGGAGTTTTTTAGAAAACAAACAGGATACGCTTTCTGAATCCGTGTATCATTCGATCATTCGTTTTTTGATTTAATATTGAAAGTTGAAGAATTTGAAAACGGCTCCTTTTCCAAAAAACGAGAATTCAGGGTAACACTTTACTTGAAGGGGTGTGCATAAGACTGACATGACACCTTCATAATCATGACATGACACCTACATAATCATGACATGACACATGTCATGAATTTGAAGGTTTTTTTATGCATGTTTATGACAACTGTCATTAAGTGTCATTCGCTCAGTTATGTAATTTTTAATGCAAAGATGACATTGTTTGAGATGTCTTTGTTATGGGTTATGGTTAGGGGTAAGGGTAAGGGTAGGGTTAGGTCAAATAATGTCATATTTGCATTAAAAATGACATAACCGAGCGAATGACACTTAATGACAGTTGTCATAAACATGCATAAAACCTCCTTCATATTCATGACATGTGTCATGTCATGATTATGAAGGTGCCATGTCAGTCTTATGCACACCCCTTCAAGTAAAGTGTTACCGAATTCAGCTTACATTTTCGTTATTCGCTCTTCGCTCGGGGGTGGAAAAATGAATAAACGGCTTGAATATTCGATTTCTATACATGGGCGGGAATTAAACGCCCCTTTCTGCTGATTGGTCTGCCGAAGATCAAACCGTGCCATCATCAGTTCTTCTGCAGTATCACGCAGCAGAATAATAGTCCTCCACTGCTGTAGTTGTACGGATTCTTAACGCATTTATTGCAACTACATTTCATATTTTTTCATCAAACAAACAGGCTAATGAATAGCTGGACACAACTCATACCTGGGCAGAGTCTAGACAGGGCTTTCTTCTGTGCAGATATAAATTCTATTCTTTGCATCAGCTGGGCATGGCAGGGTATGATATGACAGCTGTCTTAGCCTACCCTGCTCACCCAGTAAGTCTGTTTGTTTGTTTGTTTGTTTAATTAATATCTACAGATCTACAGACTGAGTCCAGTCCACACAGACTGATCAAATCAGTGATTCAGCTGTACGCGTCTTCTCTCTTTCTTCAAACGGTCAAACGGCTTCACATCGGCGCATCTCGTCTGCGCTACAAGAGCCGCTGCACGCTGCGATACGAGACTTTCACTCGCATTTCGGGACAGTTGACAGAATAGTCACTTGCCTAATCGGGTCATTGTTGCATCGTCAGTAAATTTTATTATTTATTTGCACATCTTTTTAAGCCATTCGGTACTCGCGCGCTCCAGAGGCGGTGCGCAGTCACATCCAAAGTGCGCTCGTGCGTATATGAGTATTGAGTTTGCTACCAAATAAGCTCAGCAGAACCCTGCACGGGCCTCAAACATATGCCCTTATCCGACAGATTATCAGAATTACTGGCCGAGTCTTTTTGTCTTTTTTCTCTTTCTCTCTTCCCCAATTACACAGCTGCTGTTGTAGCCATTAAAATAGTTCAGTTTCATTTTTAATGGCAAAAGTGGTTATATATATTTTCGTTTCTTTATTACGTTAATTTAGAATATATATAATATATAGGCCTATATAAAATGCTTAAAAAAACAATGTTAGTTTAAATGGTTAACCTAGATAAATATGTGCTGTTAGGAGCGTAACCAATCGTTTGTGCAGAGAAGCTAAAGCGCGCTTTGCAGGACATGGAGTTTTTTAGAAAACAAACAGGATACGCTTTCTGAATCCGTGTATCATTCGATCATTCGTTTTTTGATTTAATATTGAAAGTTGAAGAATTTGAAAACGGCTCCTTTTCCAAAAAACGAGAATTCAGGGTAACACTTTACTTGAAGGGGTGTGCATAAGACTGACATGACACCTTCATAATCATGACATGACACCTACATAATCATGACATGACACATGTCATGAATTTGAAGGTTTTTTTATGCATGTTTATGACAACTGTCATTAAGTGTCATTCGCTCAGTTATGTAATTTTTAATGCAAAGATGACATTGTTTGAGATGTCTTTGTTATGGGTTATGGTTAGGGGTAAGGGTAAGGGTAGGGTTAGGTCAAATAATGTCATATTTGCATTAAAAATGACATAACCGAGCGAATGACACTTAATGACAGTTGTCATAAACATGCATAAAACCTCCTTCATATTCATGACATGTGTCATGTCATGATTATGAAGGTGCCATGTCAGTCTTATGCACACCCCTTCAAGTAAAGTGTTACCGAATTCAGCTTACATTTTCGTTATTCGCTCTTCGCTCGGGGGTGGAAAAATGAATAAACGGCTTGAATATTCGATTTCTATACATGGGCGGGAATTAAACGCCCCTTTCTGCTGATTGGTCTGCCGAAGATCAAACCGTGCCATCATCAGTTCTTCTGCAGTATCACGCAGCAGAATAATAGTCCTCCACTGCTGCAGTTGTACGGATTCTTAACGCATTTATTGCAACTACATTTCATCTTTTTTCATCAAACAAACAGGCTAATGAATAGCTGGACACAACTCATACCTGGGCAGAGTCTAGACAGGGCTTTCTTCTGTGCAGATATAAATTCTATTTGCATCAGCTGGGCATGGCAGGGTATGATATGACAGCTGTCTTAGCCTACCCTGCTCACCCAGTAAGTCTGTTTGTTTGTTTGTTTGTTTAATTAATTAATTAATTTGTTTCAAAATAAATATTTTAATCAAGACAAAAAGGAAGGAATAATAAATTGGCTTGGGTATATATAGGCCTATGTTCACGCAAGAACTGTCATTTTCACTGACAACCGGAGAACAACAGATATTAAATAGCCTACTTTTAGAGTTATATAATGTAGTCTTGATTTATTAAAATTGATTATAATTGATATATCTCAAAAGGATATGCGCTTGTGCGCAGCATGAGCTACTGCGCACTCGCACTGCAACGCAAGATTTTCATAAAATATAATAACTTGCCATTTCGGTTTGTTTCTCACCAAACCCTCAGTATACCTTCAGAATGCTTGGAATATACACCACGAGATGCATATGATTATTTTACGACAGATATGCATCCGCTTAAAAACAACAAACAAAACCTAAAGTCACCATTCTCTGCCATTAAATTGGCAAGTGCGACCAGGACATGTTTGTGTTATTAAGTAATACGCCTTTAGAACAACATTAAGGTGAATATTCACTCTAGTTCACACAGTTCCAATAAATTGCGATGGGTTAAATAAACTCAATAAGCAGACAGA